CCCTCATTCGATAGAGAATCCTCGATAACCCTAGGATCCGCCCGAACTTGTCTAATGGTTGTCCGAATAATAAGAAAGAAAAAGCCCCCTAAAATCTAATTGGTCCATGTTTCGACCAATGGAATTGCGAGGTTCTATTTCTCAGTGATAGAAGCGACCAGGGCCCATACGTAGCCCTTGAGCACCCAAGGGTACCCCCCTATGGTATCGCTTGAGGACCCAACAGTACCTGAAGACTAGGACCATTGCCCCCTTTCTCCGGTAACTGGTAACGGTTACTCCCCACGGCTACCCAGGTGATGCCCCGAGCATCCCAGGTGATGCCTCTAGCATCCCAGATGATGCTACTAGCATCCAAGGTGATGCCTCTAACATCCCAGGTGGTGCTACTAGCATCCCAGGTGATGCCTCTAGCATCCCAGGTGAGGCCTTTAGCATCCCAGGTGATGCCTCTAGCATCACAGGTGATGCCTCTAGCATCCCGTGCAATGTATCTATTGAACATCAGATATAACTCGATCTAGTTTCTCAGTCAAATAGGGCCGTACTGCTTTAAACCGAAAAACATGGACTGTATTTTATGGTAAAACGTGGATGGGAAAGTGAGCTCCAAATTTGGAGTTTACATGTGGAGCTCACCTTTCTTGACCATACTACCTGTACCACCTTTATGATTCACCTTGACCTGATTTAACCATCCATCCTTAACTGCATGATTTACTTCTTCTTTTAAAGTACGACGATAATGTGAAACTACAGGACATTCCGTACTAAGAGAAGCATGTGCACCTTGACATTGAGCACATAATACTGTTTTTTGACATGTATGATTATGATTCCATGGATCTAAGCATTTTCGACAGCGTGGACCTAATGTACATTGATATCTTGTATGACCTAACTCCCAACAATTATTACAATAAGTCATTTTAAGAACAGGTATAAATGCAGTTATTGGTAAGAGTACATGACCAATAGCTAAACGACCAATATTTAATACCTCTTCATATTCATTTTCATCTGTAATACAAAATCTAAGATCATCTGTAGATTAAGGACGATGATAATTGATTTTTGAAAATTGTATAGCTGATTTAATTGATTTTGATATTTCCTGAATAAAAAATTCCCTTGGTAAATCCGTTGGTACATAACGTAAAACTACTGCACATGAATCAGGTAAAACACGAGGTCTTTCTATTTCAATATCAATTTTATTCATAACACTTGGCCACTTACAATTCCAAAGCAACAAAAAATCCTTTTTTGATATAACACCAATTTTATAACGATTTTTTCCTGCTGGGGCCAAAAGGAAAAAATCACCAAGTGATCGAGCTGATTGTTGTTGTATCAGATGACGAATCCATGAAGCCACTTCCATGGCTGATGGTAATTTTTGTTGTTGAACAGGATCATCATCACGATTAAATTTTAAAAAAAGCATGGTAATTTATTAGATATTGCATATTTTAATTGAGCTGAAGAAAAACAAAATTGACGATCAATTGCTAATGATGATGATGATGGTGTTGTTGTTGTTTTATTATTTGAATTAAAATTTTTTGGTGTTGGTTCATGTGGACGAGATTTTTTGGATCGATTTTGTAATTGAAATTCAGGAGACTTACTTTCATCTAATGGTCGTCGTGGTGTCGATGAAATTTGATTACATGTTGTTAATGGTGGTGGTGGTGGAACAATTGTGTTATTATGTGTTTTTTTCGTTTGATTATTGATCAACAGATATTGATTTTGATTGGACGATGACGATGATGCGATTGGCTTATCAGTTAATCGCGACAGATGTCGTGCTGGTTCATGAGTTGGACCGGGAGCTGAGGATGGAATGGATGAAGACAATGAACGATGAGTCATCTTACTATTTCTTTGATCATTTAATTGTTCGTTCAATTGTTGTTTCTTATACATCTCTATCACAACCTGCATAAATTGAACAGCACCATTTATTTGTTTCAACTAATAATCATAATCAGCCTGTTTCCTAACCGCTTGTAACCCATCAAACGGAACTTGTTCAGCGGCCATAGGCCTGTACGAGTAATAGAAGGAAAAAAATATATATAGTTAGTTACGAACGAAAGAGAAAACGTCTTATCGCTACGTATGTAGAAGGAAAAGTGACATTCCATACAATATGTGATACACTCTTAACAGTTTCATTTTGGTAAACTTTACAGTTATGTTAGAAAATTTTCTTTTTTTTAACAAAAAGGCCTTTAATTTGATGGAACGTCCTCTTCCACCTTCTTTCAAGCAAGTATTTTTCATCAGTATGTAGATGATGCGTGTTTATTTATGAATTTTTTATTCTATTATCATAAAACGAAAACTTTATTGCCTGTAATACGATGCATGGACTAGAGTTCATGCATCAAACTGAGTAATAGTACTAGAACATGTTGATATCGATTCTTGATGCAAGAAAAATGTGAATATCTAGTAAAAGCGATAAAGAATATCAGCAGTCAGTTTAACTGCGAAAACGTTGGATAATCATGAATTTCTTCAAAAAAGTGCTATATATTTTCGAGCAGTTTAAGATACATTAATCCTGAACTCGATAATGACAAAAGTTTGTTAAATATGATGATGGAAACAGGCATGTCATTTTTTAACAATCTAATTTCATGTCAGAAGGCGAAAAACAAGTTTTATTCGCTTACCCTTCTTTAAAGAAGATTTTATATTTTCTTTTTATTTTAACAACAACTATAAAAAGTTCCATTGGCTTCAACAACAAATGTTGGTTTTCTATACTTTACAATTGTGACATGAACGAAAACGATCAGTTTTTTTATTGAAGACTATAATCATATTCGAAATGTTTATGCATTGAGAAGTGTGGCCAGAGATTCGGTTCTTTTTCTTATATTCTTTTCAAACAGAAAGAATTTAGCTATTATCAACATATAAAAATTTTAAGACAACAGAAATTGTGAATTTATTTTTATGAAAAATATCAACTCACTTCATCTTTCACCAAATACTTAGAATTTTTTTTTCCTATACATGAGTCATGCAATCAACGATATTTTACATTGCAGAAAATATTGGGTGCATAATTTATTCACTAAGAAGATCTTTCTTCCATTTTATTTGTAGAGCAAGTTTGACGACACGGAATATCTGCTGCATCATAGACTCAAACTACTGTTAGAACACCATGGACTTTCCATTTCACAATTAGGTGAGTATGAATTTATTTCAATTATATTTATTTGGATAAAAGCACTCGTTGAATTCTTCCGAATTCTTTTGAACACAGACCTCTCTTATAGTTGAAAATAAGTTGATACATTACAATTTTTTTCGAATAGAAAAGAGGAAAAAATACGCCACTCTATGTCCAAATCTTTGTTTATATAGCACCAAAAAGTTATGACGTTGCTTTATTAAATTTGATCAATATATTTATATTGTTCTGGTATTCACATTGTTTGATTAATTTGATGAACAGTATCTAACTAACACGGTTGATCTCAATGTAGCATTGAAAATAAGTAAACAATTTCTTACAGATCATTATTGAACACTAATACCTTTTCTGACATTAGAATTAAATTCGTTGCGAATCAATCCTATATGTTATCGTCATAAAACTATATGCTGTATATGCATCTTAAAATATAAGTTCTTTTTTTAAGTCGGAAATATCTTTACCATCGAAATTTACAATGATCCAAGTTGAACAAACACCAAAATGAATCAATTTTTTCTAAACTCTTGAAGAAAATTTTCTTGTCTGTCGATAAAAAGTTAATACAGTTATTTTGAACGTTTAACAATGAAACAATAGTTGTTCTTGCTCAATTCTTCACAGTAAGGAAAAGTTGAACCCATCTGCATGGTTGTATACTCAGTAAAAACAAGTATTCTTAAAAGTCTTTGAGGCATGTCTAGTTTTATGAATATTTAAAGCTTCTGAGAATTTTTTGTGCACGAATTTTTAAGCATTTAGAAACCTAAACTATTCATATAAAAATTGACCTTACAAATCTTACTAGCAAGTACTCTCTACTGAGTCAGAAAAAAGATAGATAGTACTTATCGGTGAATCTTCAAAAATGATTATACTTATACTGATAAGGAAGAAGTGCTTTTTATTATTTGTGCTAGCATAGCACTGTTCAGTTGAAAAACAATAAAAATCTCTCATGTATATCAATTGCTCATAATTTGAAAAGTGTGATACAAACAACTTGATCTAAATCGATGCAAACATGTGTGCATGAAACTACTTAATAAATTAATCGAAATCAATGTTGAATAATTACAGTTCAGTAGTTTATTTTTTTGTAGAATGCATAATAGTAACTTTGTATGATAGCAAAAGTAATTATTCTGGTTAATGTTCTAAGTGTTTTCTTGACATTGTTGAATTTTACTTCCAAGTCAGTGAACGTATAATTTGTAATAGAAAATATTTTGCATAGCAGACTTCACGATCTCAAACGATACTAATAGTCGAATTTTATAAATACTAGGTACTTCAATTAAATAGACGTTCCCAACTAAAAGGTTTATAATGAAATAATAAAGAGAAAAAAAAAACTAATAAGCTTGTATTAATGATGTGGATGGTGATAACGAGAAGAACTATATCCAATCTGTAGTCCTACTCTTTTAAAAGTTCCGACTAAAACAATAAGATCTTGAAGAAAAAGACAGTTTTCAAAAGTTTTCTCCTGATCTTACAACTTTTCATGCATCATCACTGAGAGATTAAAGAGCCGATTGAACATGTTTTTGAGACGGTTCTCAAGCTAAAACGCTGTTATCGTAAAAACTTTCAATTATTTCTTTTTCTTTTTATTCATCTATTTTGAGAACTTTCGTACATGGCAAATAGGTATTTATCTTAGTTTTTTTTGCATATAGCATGAGAATGAGAAGAAAAAAGTTTTATAAACATGATATCTTTTTGTCATAAGTCACATCTAGACTCACACTTTACCAAAGACAAGTAACTATATGTCAATTGATCTTTAAATGTTTAGTTCTCTCATGCATATTGCAAAAAATATATAAAGCGATCGTGCCCATTTTTATTTTACTATTCACGTTCATAGAAATGATGGAAAAGCGAGCAGTTATAATAAGATCCCATGAATAAATTTTGATCAAATATTTCATTAGGTTCGAGTTTGTTTCGATTTTGTCTTTTGATGTCGTGAGTATACAAAATGAAATCATTGAAAAGGTAAAATTTTAAATTTAATATCTAAATCGCTACTGAATATGAATTATACTTGAACAATACTTTCGTTAAGAGACTAGTATATATTGGAAAAAAATAAAAATAAAACCAAAAAGAGTAGTATTGTTTTTATCGATCTATGTTTACATACTACTTAGGGTTGTCCAAAAGTAGTGGTGGAGGTTTTTTTTTTTCTTATAGAAAGCTTGAACAAATTTTCTTTTTTTTATGAATAGATAGAGCGTCTTTCGTTCTATCTTTCTATGCTATTTTATATCTATTAAACTAATATCATAATAATAAAATTTTGATAAGAACTATTTTTGTTGAAAACCAGCTGGTAACATTTAGGTCATAATGGATGTGGTATTTTTGCATTCCACTTTATTATCACATAATATGTTGTATTGAAAAAACAAAATATACCAATAGATGCAGCGTGAAGAGCTCTATAATTCACAAAGAGCAATGATACAAAGATAAGACAAAAAAAACGGAATTCGTTGTTTTTTACCAAAAAAAGTCTCGTTTTCATCACGTCGAAACATGGTAACTCAGACTTTTGTTCATTTTAAAACAAAAAGTATAACTATAAAATAAGCGGTACTTTATAAATTGTAGAGCTTTTCACGCTGCATCTGCTGGTATATTTTATTTTCTTTAATACAACGTATTGAGTAATAATAAAACAGATGCAAAAGTATCCCATTTCTTGTGCCACACTCATTATGATCTAAATGTTACCAGCTGGTTTTCAACAAAAATAGTTCTTATCGAAATTTTATTATTATGATATTAGTTTAATAGTAATAAAATAGCATAGAAAGATAGAACGAAAGACGCTCCATCTATTCATAAAAAAAGAAAATTTGTTCAAGCTTTCTATAAGAAAAAATAGGGCCTCCACCACTACTTTTGGATAACCCTAAGTATTTAAGCCTTTCCTACTCATAAGAAGTCGATCTTCATGGAAACCATCAAGGTTCAGATAAATGCATAAAAAGATGGTTCGAAACCTTTTCTATCGAACATAGCATGACATTTTATTTAACATGTCTCTCACTTACTGATTTGCGTAGTCCATAACTTTCAAAGAAACTTCATTGCAACTAAGAGGCTGTTTTAGTTTAAAACATTATGTTAAAATCCAAGGAACGATAGAC